ACAAAACTGAGATTTAGAAATGTAATAAGTGAAGAGTTAAAAAAGGGGGGGGCGGGGTTGTGATTGCGAGAGTGAATGATTTTGTGCTAAAGTGAAATTGTATAACTCAGGGAAGATCTTAGAAAGTTTAATAACAAAGAAGAGAAGTTCAAATAGTAGCTACATACTGAACGAGAAGAGAAGTTGTCTATGAGACTTCAGAGGTAGGTTGAGTAGGCAGGCACAAGTGTGGCTCACTGAAAGATTTTGGTCTTTGTATTTCAAGAAATGGGAAGCCAGAGAAGAGTTTTAAGCAGGAGAATGGAATGCATTTTAGAAAAATCTCTGATATGTATTTTTGAAGTTTCACTTTGGCAGCTGAGTTGAAATGTATTAGAGTAAGGCAAGCATTGATATTGGGATGTGGGTTCAGGGCCTGAGATGTGGTGCATGTAGATCAGTTTGAAATGGTGGAAATGGACAGAAGAGAACAGGAGTTGGTGGCTGATTGGATGTGGGCAATGAGAATAGGGATGACTCAAGAAGAAATTTTAGGTTGATGTTATCAGCAACTGAGAATGTTGAGAAGGCCATGTAGTGACATAGAATTCACTGGAATTAGAGCAGGTTTGGAGGACTCTAGGAGAGAGGCAGAGAAGCTTAAAGATGTCTGTGAGCTGAATGGGGACCAGATTGGCATGATCTGGGCTTAGCAGAGTCTAGTTTGTAAATACCAACTCCACTATTGCTAGCTCTCATCTCTGGTTTATTTTCCACACAGTCAACAGAATGATGTTTTGGAGAAAAAAAGAAATAAAAAGAACATTTTGCTGTCTGCTAAAATCCCTCCAATGAACTCTCTTCCTGCAAGGACTCTCATGATCTGCATCCTCCACCCTCGTTCTCAGCCTCTGCAAATCACTGCTTCAATTTCTTCCACTCCCCACCTTGCTCACTTTCCTCTGCCACAGTGGTCTCTTTACTTGTCTGTGATTAATGCCACTTCATTCCTCTCTGTGCCTGGAAAGATATCCTTATGGATGACTCCTTTACTTTAATGTCTCTACTTAGATTTATCTCACCTTATCAGAGAGGCCCTTATTAACAAACATCTAAGAAAAGCACTCATTTTCTTCCTTGCCTACTCTGGTTTATTTTTCTTTTCAGCCTTCAGTACACCTCAGTTAATGATATAGTAACATGTTTATTAAGAATATAAGCTCCTTGAGAACAGGGGATTAATTTCCTTCCTTCATGTAACTCCAGTGCGTAAAACGTAGTCTGCGCTTAACTCATACTTGTCAGTTAACAGTAGATTTTGTTCAGTGCTCCTGCTCATCTGTTTCCTCTTCTTTTATACCTTTGCCCTTTTTAAATACTATTTGAAACTCTTTTAATAAATCTCTGATGACTCAACTTTCCAGATTAACCCGGGCCACTTAATTCCTCTGTAAAGTGTGATGTCCAGAGAATACTGAAATCTCACAGCTCTTAGACTGCTTGCCAGCATTCTTACTTACTTCTTCTATCAATAAATCAATAGCGCTGATTTCCAATCTGCTTCTATCTGTTGCACTTGTCAGTGTCATTACATAAGTAATTTGTTGTTATGTAAATCAATATGATATGAGTGTGAAAGAGGAAAACTATTGTTTCTGTGAAAACTGATTTGAATAATAAGGAAAGACTTGATAAATGGGACTTAGATTTTAAAATATTGTTATTGGCTGTCAACTTTAAAAGACTGACAAAAAATGTCATAAATAACCAGAATGATTCACTCAGCACGATTATAAACACATATGGCCTTGTTCTATTTTAAATATGTTCAAACTGGAAATCTTTAATGATGCCTTATGGGTGTGGTTTACTCCAAAAGAATGATGTTGAATTTCAGTCAAAGAAAAAGAAAGCCTTGGCTAGGCATCAACAACTGATTAATGTACATTTATGTCTTTCAGATTAAAATAAAGTGTTCAGGGCATTTATGAATATTTTTAATTCTCCAATTTAACTGTTTTTTTTCATTAATTAACACTGCTAGTATTTATTAGGTACATTGATTTCTTCTTAACCCTATAGGTTCTCCATATTCAGCCCTTCCTTCATTCATCTCAGTACAGATGAAATCACATCTCATCTTGTGTACAAACTTGGATCTTCTGGCATTGGTTGACCTTACCTCCATGTCATAAAGCCACCTATATTAGTTTGCTAGGGCTGTCATGACAAAGCACGACAAATTGGATAGCTTAGAACAACAGGAACTTATTGTCTCATAGTTCTGGAGGACAGAAGTCTGAAATCAAGGTGTCAGCAGGGTTATGCTGCCTCTAAAGGTGCCAGGGAAGGGTCTGTTCCATGCTTCTCTCCTAGTTTCTGGTAGTTCCTTGACTCGTGGTAGCATAACTCCAATCTTCATAGGGCATTCTCCCCATGTATGTGTCTGCGTCCAGATTTCCCCCATTTTATAAAGATACCAGTCATATTGGTATATGGGTGCACTCTACTCCAGTATGACCTCATCTTGATTTAACTGATTGCATCTACAAGGACCTATTTCCAAATAAGGTCGCATTCTGAGCTACTGGAAGTTAGAACTTCAACATGTGAATTCAAGGTGGACACAGTTCAACCCTTAACAATGCCTAGCAGAGAACTTTGAATATAATAAAAAGTGAATTCGTAAGAGAGATACTAAGAAGTGAATGAAAAAATAATGTGAATAAGGAATGAAAGTATGGATGCTTCTAGTTTTTCCTACTTCATTTTCCCATTATTTGGCCTTTCCTCTAGTTTTGCCTCTGAAATTCAGATTCACTTCTCCAACATTAATGAATCTCAGAAGCCAACTCTGCAAATACACAAAAGGACAGATACAAGCATTTAAGACTCTTACAAATCTGTTTTTCATTTCTCAAATTTAATTATATCTTTCAGTGGAATAAATGCCTGTCACTTTCAGTGCCAAATGCACTCTATGCAGGGCTTTAGTTCTTCCCTAAATATTAAAAGAGATTACAATTTTGGTTCAAAATTATACAAAAATAAACGCAGTATGTTTGGAGAATCCTTCGCAACATTGAAAAGTGCAATATCAAATTACTCTTAAACCATAATTTCCATAATAATAAAACAACTAACTGTGTGAAAATGACAATCTGAATGACATGCTGAAATGGTGGTGGGCTCAGGAGGGCATAACCAAAATAAAGTGAAAGTCTGAGCAAATGTTCATTGAACATAGAGCTCATAATATAGCCAGTTTAAATATACTAAGTGAATTAAAACATTAATTATACAGGCAATTATTAATCCACTGGTAATCACAAAACTCTGCTTTGCTTCAGAATCCAGAATGACTAGGTCAGCTTATTATAGCCTAAGGTTTTTTTTATTTTGTTTTTGTTTTCCACTTCTAAGGGCACTTCCTTTTTTAGTGGTGAAACAGTTCTTACACTGAAGCATTAATAATGCTTACATCTTCTCTTTGAAATAACGGGTAATTCATCATCAGGACAGGTCCCTTACAAATGACTCATTTATCTCAACATGCAGTCTTAATCATAAAAAAGATTCAATGACTTAATACCAGTGATGGCTAAAAAGACACACATACATAATTTACTTCTGCTTTCTTACCAAATTTTAAAATATTTAAGTAAGACAAGATGATTTTCTTCATCTAGTATGAAGAAAATATTTAGTCTTAAGAAAATAAGTTGTAGCAAATACTTGTATCCTTACTTACTGGACCAAATTTTAGGAGTCAATAATACAAAGAAGGGACTGCAGTAATATATGACATTCTTCAATTGATGTGGCCACTGTCTTTCAGTTGACAAACTAGTTTTCAGTTTATTTCATTTTTAAAATCTTACCTGATGTTCAAAGAAACAATCTCATCTTATTTCTCCCCTTTTTCCTTATTTCTATTAACAGCATTACCATTCTCTTAATCAACTGGACTGAATCCTCAACTTCATGTATCCAGTCAACAACTACGTACCCAGTGATTGCCAACTGAATCTCAGTGGAACTTTCCTAGCCTCTGGGAATGCAAAGGTAAGGGGAGACAACTTGCAAACAAAGCTCGTAATCAGACACCATTTCACACTCACAAATGGAAATAAATGAAGAGTATCAAAATAGTAAATTTTATGGAGGTTGTGGATTAACAGGAATTATTTACACGCTGGGGGAGTATAACTTGGCCAACAACCTTGGAAGACATTTTGGCTTTGTCTGTTAGAGCTGAAGGCGCACATACCATATGCCCAGCAATTCCACTTTTAGCCCTACAGCCTAAAGAAGCTCATGCACGTGCACACCAGGAAATACATAAGCATGTGTATAACCGTAGTGTAGTAATCCACATGCCTGATACATGTCCTGCAAAAGTGAAGGATATCCAATAGAATAATAGTGAGAGGTGAGTATTTGGGTGTTACCATCGTTATTGTTGTTATTTCTTGCATATAATTATTCTTTTGTAGGAATTTACTTTGCAAAGGTAATAGGGTTATAGCACTGATAATCATCAAAGTAAGAAACAGAATCAGAACAATATAAACCAACACTAAGTAGAAGTGACAATCTTCCAAAAAATCATAGAAATAAAACTAAAGCCATGGATGTAAAATTAATTAGGAGAACTCTATACTTGCACAGGCAAGAGAATTAGGGAATGAAAATATAGTACTGAAGAATTCAGCCAGAACACAGTTCTGAAAGCTGCTCTTTGTAAAATCCACACCAAAGCCACAATACCACCCTGCCCTGAATTTAGATATTGCCCAGTGGCTTTGGGATCCAAATGAAGCTTCCAGAACTCCAATTTCTGTTTCAAGACTAACTGCTGCCTGACTGATTCTGCTTTTACGAAGTGAGGTTGCACATTCTGCCACCTACTGTGTGTGTTCTGACGCTGGCTCAGGTATTTAGTTGCTGTGTGAATTTGTATGACAAATTAATCAATTTCTCTCTGCTGTGTGTTCATGTGTAAGATGAGGAAAATTTTAGTGCCTTCCCAGCATTTTGTTAAGATTGAATGAGGTGATATATGTAAAATGCCTAAAGTAACGTCTGGAACATGGAATTTTCCTTTTTTTTTTTTCAGTTCCTATTTCATTTAGGATAGTTTACATTGCTAAATTTTCTGAATGTACCCATCTTTTCTTCTGCAATGTCTAATCTGCTTCTAATTTCTTCCAGTATATTTTTCATTCCAGACATTGTAGTTTTCATATCTAAAAGTTCAACATTGGTCTTTTTTTTAAAGTATCTTTTATCTTTTTTATTTAATATAATTAATCTTTCCTCTACCTTTTTGAACATAAAACAGTATAAAACTGTGTTAATGCCCACACCTCCTAATGCTGTAATTAATGTCATTTCTGGATCTGTTTCCATTGATTGATTTTTCCTACTTCTTTTTATGCCTGGTGATATGTTTATCAAATTTTAATGTATTGGGTATAGAAATTTTGTATTTCTGTAAATATTCTTAAGCTGTTTTCCAGGAGGCAGTATATGCTCAATAGAAACAGTATCATCCTTTCTAGGATAATTTTGAAGTGTTTTTTGGTAGAACCAGAGCAGTCTTCGGTCTAGGGATGATTTTGCTTCACTACTAAAGTGATACCATCTGAGTACTCTGCATAGTGCACCTTCATTTTAACATTCCCCACCCTGACCAGGGGAAACCCAGCTATTCCTGGCCCTGTGTGAGTGAACAGGGATCGTTCCCTCCATTCCTTTTGGGTGGTTCTTTCCCCAGCGTTGGGGTCGTTTCCTGACGTAATCAGTGCTCAGCTGGAGACCCTAGAGAGACTCTCTGAGGGTCTCTGAAATCCGTTCTGTCTCTTTTCTCTCCTTGTCCATGAAATCCTGTACTCTGCTAGGTGAATTCTAACTACCTTGGCCCTACTGGGCCCTCAACTCAGTCTGCTCAACTCAGGAAGACAACCAGTATCTGAAATCAGATGTTTTGTATATTGTTTTCCAAGTTTTTTTTTTAAGTGTTTTCAGGTGAAGGAGTGAATCTGGTCACTGTTCACCCTCTGGGCTAGCAGCGAAAGTTATGTAAGCTACTACTAATAAAGACACGTTCCTAGGAATCTTATCTAGCCCTTGACTTGTTGCATTGTACAAAGTAAGTGAGGGTGTGTGTGTGTGTGCACACGTGCAACATAACTCTGTATGGGAAAATAGGCATCATTGCTCTCAACATATCTTTCAGCCTTCTATCCAGAGGAGTTTCACTGGCCCATTGAGCCTTCAACCACATAGTCCCAGGAAGGTTTTCATTTAATCACTTCACACTTCCAGTCATCCCCTCTCCCTTGTTCTGACTCTTCACTTCCCATTTACCTGGGTGGAACAATAGAAACATCAAAACTCTTGTAAATCTTTGTATGATAATTCACACCTTTTCTTCGCAGATTTTGCTTTTCAACCTTCACTCAAGCTCTCTAGACTTGAATTTTCTAAGCAGAGGTAGTTGTTGCTTCCCTCAGTAAAATGATTGTGTCAGCTGTTGAGAGAGTCAACAGTGGTCAGGTATAAGCTATGGAACTAAACTGCTTGGTTCCAACTCTGACCTATTCTACTGTTTGTACACTAAATGAGTTTAATCAGGCCATCTCTTGGCACATCAGTCTTATCATGTGAAAACAGAAATAATCACACACCATACTTCAAAGTGTTGTTTTGAGAATGGCACAAGACAATGTATGTTTTTTAAATTTTATTTTATTGAGTTGTAGGCAGTTTACAATGAATGCTGTGTCAATTTCCAGTGTAGAACACAATTTTTCAGTTATACATGAACATACATATGTGCATTGTTGCGTACTTTTTCACCAAGAGCTACCACAAGATCTTGCATATGTTTCGCTGTGCTATACAGCATAATCTCGTTTATCTATTCTATATATACATGGCACTATCTACAAATTTTGGACTCCCAGTCTATCCCTTCCCACCACCCCTGGCAACCACAAGTTGTATTCTATGTCTATGAGCCTGTTTCTGTTTTGTATTTATGGTCATTTGTCTTCTTTTCTTTCTTTTTTTTTTTTCTCTTTTTTTTAGATTCCACATATGAGCGATTTCTTATGGTATTTTTCCTTCTCTTTCTGGCTTACTTCACTTACAATGATTTTCTCCAGGGATATCCATATTGCTGCAAATGGTGTTATGTTGTCATTTTTATGGCTGAATAGCATTCCATTGTATAAATATGCCACATCTTCTCTATCCAGCCATCTGTTGATGGACATTTAGGCTGTATCCATGTCTTGGCTATTGTAAATAGTGCTGCTATGAACATTGGAGTGCACATATCTTTTTGAAGTAGGGTTCCTTCTGGATATATGCACAGGAGTAGGATTCCTGGGTCATATGGTAAATGTATTCCTAGTCTTTTGAGGAATCTCCATACTGTTTTCCATAGTGGCTGCACCAAACTGCATTCCCACCAGCAGTGTAGGTGGGTTCCCTTTTCTCCACAGCCTCTCCAGCATTTGTCATTTGTAGGCTTTTGAATGATAGTCATTCTGACTGGTGTGAGGTGATACCTCATTGTAGTTTTGATTTGCATTTCTCTGATAATTAGTGATATTGAGCATTTTTTCATGTGCCTATTGATCATTTGTATTTCTTCCTTGGAGAATTGCTTGTTTAGGTCTTCTGCCCATTTTTGGACTGGCTTGTTTGTTTTTTAGTTATTCAGTTGTATGAGCTGTTTATATATTCTGGAAATAAAGCCTTTGTCAGTCAAAACATTTGCAAAGATTTTCTCCTATTTCTTAGGTTGTCTTTTTGTTTGCTTATGGCTTGCTTGGCTGTGCAAAAGCTTATAAGTTCAGTTATGTCCCATTTGTTTATTTTTGCTTTTATTTCGATTGCTTGGGTAGACTGCCCTAGGGGAACATTGCTGAGGTGAATGTCAGATCATGTTTTGCCTGTGTTTTCTTCTAAGAGGTTTCTAGTATCTTGTCTTATGTTTAAGCCTTTCATCCAATTTGAATGTATTTTTGTGTATGGTGTGAGGGAGTAGTCTAACTTCATTGATGTACATGCAGCTGTCCAGTTTTCCCTACACCATTTGCTGAAGAGACTGTCTTTACTCCATCGTATGTTCTTGCCTTCTTGGTCAAGATAAATTGACCAAAGTTTGTGGGTTTATTTCTGGGCTCTCTGTTCTGTTCCAGTGATCCATATGTCTGTTTTTGCACCAATACCATGGATGACTGTAGCTCTGTAGTATTGTCTGAAGTCTGGCAGGGTTATTCCTCCAGCTTCAATCTTTTTCTTCAGTAGAACTTTGGTAATTCTGGGTCTTCTGTGATTCGATATAAATTTTAGGATGATTTGTTGCAGTTTTGTGGAAAATGCCCTGGGTGTTATGATAGGGTTCACATTAAATCTGCAGACTGCTCTGGGCAGGATGACCATTTTAACAATATTAATTCTTCCAGTGCAAGAACCTGGGATATCTTTCCATTCTTTAAGTCCTCTTTAATTTCCTTAGTCAGTGTTTTGTAGTTCTCCGCATGTAAGTCTTTCACGTTCTTGGTCAGATTTATTCCTAAGTATTTTATTTTTTGGATGCAATTTTAAAAGTGTTTATTACTTTCGTGTGAAGCCAGGCCCCTGACGTCTGTGTGTGGATGTTGTGTGCTGCTGCCTTGCCGGGTAGTAGCTCTAGTAGTTTCTGTGTGAAGCCTTCAGGGTTTTCTATATGTAGCATCATGTCACCCACATATAATGACACTTTGACCTTTACTTTTCCAGCTTGAATCCCTTTTATTTCTTTTTCTCATTTAATTGCTATGGCTAGGAACTCTAAAACGATATTGAATGGAAGTAGTAAGAGTGCTATGATGTGGGCAGTGTCACATCCAAAGCTTAATCTGGGTCTGGACGTGACCGACTGGTATTACAACCATAGCTTACTCGTCTGATTTAGACAGCTTTGAAAATAAAATACTGCAGTGAAAGGAGAAAAACTAAACAAAAGAAAAACAAAATCATCATTTAGTTACCTTGTCTACATAGTTCACATATGTTTGGAGTTAATTTTTTTTTCATTAAGCAGACTGTTTAGCCTGTCTTTATGCTCTGGTTTTTATTATTAAGAGTCAGTCTCGATCACTAGACATTGGAGAAGAAAAAAAAAGTATTACTAAAAAGAACCAATAAAACTACTCACATTCTTATTATGTGAAAATAACTTTAAGTGGGCAACTGACTGAAAGTTAGGAGTAACTTTTTAATATAGTTGCACAGAGAAAACTTGGTTTTTTACAGTACCGAGAATATGCTTTTGGAAATGGGAATATGTCTTCCTAGTAGAGAAAAAAATAGTTCGTTTATTGTGAAGTATCTGTTACATTTAAATGCAAGTGATACTTTAAATATACAAAGTAATCATGAAATATAAACAAGATTTACATCAAATATTAGAAGGGGAAAACAGGAAGGTACAGTAATCAACAGTGTGAAAATAAGATTTGAAAATAAGATTTCAATCATGGTAAAATAGCCAAATTTACTAGTGTAAATACATCTAGCTCCCCTAGTTTTTGAAACTATTTTAAAATATAATCATATTTCCAAATAGTGCCTTTACACTAAGACATTGAAGAATTCTTCAAACAAAATAATCAAATCATATCCTTAGAGAAGCTTCAATGAGCTAGTATAATTACCATTGAATTCTCTTCAAACCCTTTATAAGTCAGGGTCTAATCAGGAGACAGAAATCATAGTAATCTGAACAGGGAGAGTTTAATGTAGGGAAATATAAACTACTTTTAGGGAATTGCTACTCAAGGGAATAAAATGAAAACTCTAAAGAACACACTACAGCTGAGAAATAATACCAAGAATGAAACAAACTTGGTGAGGGGGCCCCTTCCCAAGGCTGGAATTTAGCTGTTGTTTCAGAGAGGATGATTGACGTACACTGGAGGTTCAGAAAATCCATGGCATTCCTCAGAGCCAGAGGTGTCCATAGTTGGTGATCCGAGCCTGATAGCTGGAGAACTTCCCAGTGATGTTAAGGAAGTTCACTGGGAGGCTGCCCATGGCCGGGAGATGTTAATTTCAGTGGGGAGTAGTTGGATTCCCACAGAATTCAGTAACAGTTGCTGCAGGGGTGGCAGGGAGTGAGGTGATGCTGAACTTATCGGAAAGCCATGTGGGGCACCTGAGGAACTTCTGGAAATCATCTTGGGATGGGGGGTGGGGGAAGGGCGTCCTGAGGAACTCAGGAAAGAGGCCCATGTGGGATGCTGACCAGGAAACCAGATACAGGGCTTGAGGAACCTGCAGGAAGGCTGCCTAAGAGATGCCCCTTCCACCGGGTGCTCTGCATGCCTGTTTAGCACCATAGGAGCCATTGGGAAAAGGATCACAGCAGAAAGAGTAGGAGAACTCTCTTCCTCCTGCAGTGTCCCTCCTGACCCTTCAACTGGCAAAGCTTAACGCTGGGTCAGCTGGCCAGGGAGAAATATCAGTGCCACAAGCAGGGCAGTGAAGGGTAGATTTAGAGCCAAGAGGCAATAAACTCATAACTGGCACACCACCCTCCTCACCAAATTTCTAATTCTGTTTACATCAACCTACCAATGGTTTGGAGTTCTGTTTTTGAATAAATGATTACTTTGTTATAAGGTCTGTCATGACTAATTTTGATATGTTTGTTACAAAATGATCCATATCTAGCAACCTGTTTCTCTTTCAAGACCAGTTTCTAACAAATTAAAAAACTCAGAACATCAGTAGTGTTCCAGAAACATCAGTAGCAATGACCTATCCATGTTTAATTTTTCTTGGACACTTTGGTGGTAAGACTTAGTATATACTTAGTACTTCCAATAATATATGAGCATCAATCAAGGCATTATTAGGAAGTAAAACTAACAGCATCTCCCAAAGCTACTTACATAACTAAATTGAGTGAAACTACTTCACTTTCATTTTTAATAATCCTGGTGTGAATTGAAAAACAAAAGAAAACTTTTGTTAAAAACCATCTTTTCCCTACCCAGAACATTTGGAGAAATATACTTAAAGCAGTAGATGAGTTTAATGCTCTTTTAAAAATGTCACTGAATAAAATAATATTTAAAGGAAAAAATCAGCTGCTTTTCTAAATTTTCTTTTTTCTTATAAAGTTTTACTTGCAAATCCTGTTTATTTGGAGTATTGAACAACTGACAAGAGAAATGTCTTTCTGGAAGTCTCTGGCACTACTTAAATATGAATATTTAGCTCTACA